TTCAAGTCTCGCAGGTCTCGGATAATCACCCGGGCAATGATATAACTTCCTTCACCCCTTGACGTCTGTCCGAGTAGCAAAATTCAATCAGTCACTCCCATTATTAGATCCAATAATTGCACACAGTTGGTTTAATTGGCCTTTTTTTGATTGGCCAATCACACTTCTTACCTGTACATGGAAACTGGATCAACAAAGATTAGATGACCCCAAGTACAGTACGTGGGCTAATTCATGAAATGTCAACCACCGACCGAAATTCTGGGCCCGGTATGTGGACGATACCTTCGCCGTCATCGAACGGGATCAGGTGCTAATTTTCAAAGAACGTCTCAACAGCGTCTTCCCGGACATCACATTTACGATGGAGGAGGAAGAAAATAACCAGCTGGCATTCCTTGATGTCCTCATCTGCCGCAGAGATTGTGGTGGCCTAAAGACAAAAGTGTTTAGAAAAGCGACGAACACGACGCAAATACTGAACTTCAACAGTAACCACCAAATCAGCCTCAAACGCAGTTGCGTAAGAACGTTATTTCGGCGTGCTGAGACGTTCTGCAGTGAACCGGAAGACAAAGTTGCCGAATCCCAATATCTTCGATGGGTTTTCAGATAATATGGCTACACACGTCGTCAACTGGTGCATGCGCAAACGAGACGAGCGACAAAACCGTGCCGACCCCAGATTCTGGCGAGCGATCCCGTACATCAAGAACGTCTCCGATGCCGTTAGTCGCATTCTTGCACCACTTGGGGTTGGAGTTGCACACAGACCGGAGGCCACCATGAGGCGTCAGGTGATGAGACCAAAAGACCCACTGCCACGGCAAGAAACATCCGGAGTCGTTTACCGGATCTAGTGCAGTTGCGACAAAGCAACTACGTCGGAGAAACTGGAAAACTGCTCCAGACGCGAATCGCCGAACACGTGGCAGCTGTACGGAGAAATGACGCCAACTCTCAGGTCGCGGCCCATTCGACGAGACCCGGCCACACATTCAAATTCGATGAGGCCGAAATTCTCGCGAGAGTTGCTTGAGTCATGGTTAACGGGACCTCAGGCCATCAACAAGTGCAACGACATCCCCACTCCATATTCTGTCCTGAGGCATAGACTGACCAAAGCAATTGACCACTCGAGGAGCGCGCAAGCACGTGAGCCAGATGGCCGAGCAATCATCACGCCAGCATCCAACACGGGTGATGAGATTTCAGCAATTAACAACTTGCATACTGGCCATCAAGCAATTAGCGCAACAGCGGGCAACAATTCTTGACGAAGGGGAGCGCGGTTAATTGCTGTAGGTATGCAGTAGCATAGCGACTGCATCCAATAAATACTGCAACTCCCTGTGCACGAGTCACCCTTTTATGCCACTGTCTCTGATGATGGATTCACGTGAGAATCCGAAACGTCAGGCGAATAAACCCTTTGTTCCAGCGATCGCTTCTTCTTCTAATCAGGAATTACTTTGGCGGCAATTTTTTTAAAAGCTAGGTTTTACAAAGTTATTACGCCACTCTCCATGGTGTTAAATTATAGATTTATGGCAATGGAACCATCGTCAACCTCTTGGCAAATTATTCTTTGAAGTATACATCTCAAAATTAAATCATAGTTGTTTCTATGCGGCTGCCTATGTGAACATAGGTGGCAAAGGACTGACAAAGAAAAGGGAGACTGGAGTGGCCATTTCCGGCTTATTAGCCGTCGCCAGCAAGTCCTACCCAGCCCTGAGGTGTGGGACACCTGGGGCTCGATCCCGCTACCCGTTGGTTAGAAGTCCAACGTCCGTAACCACTGAACCATGGGCTCGTTGTCCGTGGTATACACCTGATCGCAACTGACTGACTGCTGGCGGAGATCGAGAGAGAGAGAGAGAGTCCCAGAGCACAACGGGAGGAGTGAGTTCCGTAGCGCGATCGGTGAGCGTCCCCTCCACCATTGTATATACTCGATCGCAACCGACAGGACAACGAGCCCCTGGCTCAATGGGCTTCATTAGTTGACGTACCTAGGCAGCTTTCCTGTTCGACCGCTGTCAGTTATACAACCCTCATCACTGTACGGGGGTCAGACACACAGACACTTCGTCCTCATTTCCTCCACGGTTTTTTCCAATTCTAGAGCTCTGGATGAACTCTATCTACTCAACCAGAATGGAATCCTAAAATCTCATTTCTGTGAGATGGCCATCCAACAAATTCTGGACTGTCACAGCATTTTAAAGTTTGCACTCACTGGACGTTTGGGTAGGTCCCTCTCATCTGAATTTCTGTCTTCATCGAGTTAAAAAATAACGCTGGTATTATTTAGAGAAGTCAGACTATTGTGATTAGAACTAACTTGAGTGGAACTCAACTTGGAGGATGAAGGCGGTCTTTTAGTAGAACCAATTGCGATTTAGGTTAATACCGGGGGGAGAACTGAGAGTATCACTTTATTATCTCATTACTGCGATGATAAAAGGACTCAGAAGTAGTAATGTTATTACCGACAAAGACAAGGGAGACTGGAATGGCCACTTCTGGCTTATTAGTCGTCGCCACCCCTAAGTGTGGAACAACCGAGGCTCAAACTCGCGATCTTTTAGTTGCAAGTCCACGCCTCTAACCACTGGGCCACTAGCCCGTTGCCCTGTCGGTTTCGATCGGGAATATACAATGAGCCCGTTAGGCACAACGGAACGAGTGAGTTCCGTAAAAACGATCAGTGAACGCCCCAACCATTGCATATTCACGATCGGAACCGACAGGGCAACGGACTCGTGGCCCAGTGGTTAGAGTTGTGGACTTCTAACCAACAGGTTGAGGGATCGAGCTCCAGGTGTCCCACACCGCAGGGCTGGGTATGACTTGCTGGCGACGGCTAATAATTCGTAGGTGTTATGGCAGATTTCAAATAATTCGTTCTGACCCACCTGTGAAAAACTCGGTGCCTCGGTGGGATTCGAGCCCACGACAGCAATGGGAAGGCCTTAGTACAGCCAGCTCTCTAGCCACCTGAGTCTCGAGACCCAACCGGACGACGCGATTTTAATTATATTTGGATCCAGTCTATCCGCCCAAACTGCTACAACGTCTGGATCAACCAAATCTGATACAGTAGGCTGACTGCTGACGACTAATAAGCCGAAAATGGCCATTGTCAGTAATACTATTCCGCTGCGCCGCTGCGTGGCTGCTGGCAGGGCTCAGGAGAGAGACCCAAAACAAAACGGGTCAAGTGAGTTCCGTAACGCAATCGGTACGCACACTCCTACCATAGCAAAGGACTTTCGACTACGCGGTGGAACCTGTGGCTTAGCTGTCCACTTTCAGAAACTTTGTCTCATCTTACGTCTTGTCTGAAGGGGCTGGCATCATATGCTTTCCTGGATTTAGGAGAAGAAATTGACTCAGACAGTACTTACTGTAGATCCCATACCTTGCAGCCATCTGTCCACAAGGTACGGCTGAGATGCAGGTATAATCTCGCCGTAAGAGTCGGATGTAACACGCGCAAAAGTGTACCTATGCAAGGTCTGCCTATAAACATAATTCCAGCCCTGCAACGTCTCGAAACATAGAGGCGTAAACAGTCGTTTCGGTATCTGTTTGCCGGGCCAGATTTGGTGTAATTAGTGCAACCTGTACAGGAGCGCAGTTTGTAACCGACAGCAACAGTGAAATAACTATGCTCATAAAACGTTCTTTCTCGAAACCACATTGCTAGGCATCACCGACGGGTGAGGTAAGCCAGAGTGGCGCGACCCCTGTGGACTCCAGACGGAAACGTAAATTCGTCCAACTTGCAGCGTGTTTTGGGGAACATTTGAAAAAATTTGAAAGTGGGTACTGTCTAGCTCCCTTCTGGGCAGCCCTGCAGTTCGCTTGTAAATTTGCTAACTGCAATCTTTAAAGTGGTTAGAATGCGAGTCTTTGCTCGATCAAGCTGAAACGCTTGTGCTTTTCGGCGAAAACAAATCTGCTAGGGAGCTCAAGACCAACGCTCAACTTATACGCAGCAGCCTTGCACAAAAGTCATTCGTTATAGACGAAGACCACGCCTCGTTCCGCCAAGCCCGTCGTGCAGAGTGGAAAGTGGTAGGTCAGAAACTGAAGATGAGTGCCCTCAGACCTTTTGACTGGCCGCCATTTGAGTATTGCATGTCTCTTCTTAAAAGTCCACTCAGCTGAAATGCCCATCATTTTTCTTGTCTTCTGACCCCATGCGCTAGTTTGGACATTAACCTGATTAATTTTAATCCTAACCACTAAAACACTTCCGATGGCATGCCAGGGCCAATGAAGTGCTTGCAGAGCCACGAAGTGGGAGTCGAACCACCCCTAACCCACAGGTTTCGCGCAGGGTGGGCTGCTAACAGCCGCGCTAATTGATTTTCCCATTATCGTTGTTTCTCAAGACCTGACCTACATGCTCTGTCCTTATGACCGTTCCAGTTGCCAAAATTACGGACCATGGAAGCGAAGAGACGAGTCCCAGGAAGCCGTCTTGAAGAAGGAGACACGATCGCTTTCCTGAACACTTTGGTCCTTAGGCCACCGCAATCTTTGCGTCATACAAGGACATCCAAAAAGGCCAGCTGGTTGTTCTCTTCCTCCTCCATCGTAAATCGTATGCCCGGGAAGACCGCATTCAGACGTTCCTTAAATGTCAGCAGTTGATCCCGGTCGATAACGACAAAGGTATCATCCACACACCGCGCCCAGAACTTCGGTTTGTGATGTTGGAAGACCAGCGACTCTAACCGTTGCAGGACCGGTTCGGCGATGAATCCCGAAATCGGCGAATCCACCTGCTCGTAGATTGTTCAGTCAAACGTGAAGTATGTCCTGAGACAGAACTTCAGGAGCTGAAGGACTTGGGTGCATTCAAGACGATTCTCCGTTTCATCGTTTTTGCTTTGTAGAAGCAGCTCGGTTGTTTTGATCATCAGTTCCTGGGGAATAGAAGTAAAAAGGGACGTACCATCAAAAGATACCATGACCTCATTTGGATGGAGGCTAACCTCTTTGAGTTTCTCCAGGAATTGTGCCGACGAAGAGACCACGACATCGGACTCAGCGGTCAGGAACTTGAGACGCCGGAACAGCCCCTTAGCCACTCCTGCACAACGGCACGAGTGAGTCCCGTAACACGAGCGGTGAGTGCCTCTATACTATTATATATATGTAATAGTTATAGAGCGACATTCACTGACTGCGTTATTGTACATAATCGTCCCGTTGGGTCTTGGAACTCAATCTAAAGCCCTGCCAGCAGCCACATAGTGGCTGGTAATGAAACCAAATAAGATTCACGGCAAAGACAAGGGAGACGAATGCCCGTTTCTGGCGTATTAGCTTTCATCTGCCAACCATGTCCAACCCCAGGATTCTTGAAATCCCTGAGGCTCGGAATCGCCTTCTGTTGGTTAGAAGTCCAACGCCCTAACCAAAGAGACACAGGCTCCTTGTCCTGTCATTTGTGACCGGATATTTTAACAGTAGTGGAATGGTGCTCATCGATCGCCATGCTCGTCCTGTTTTGCCTTGAGGCTCTACTTAGAGCCCTGCCAGCAGCCGTATAGCGGTTAGTAATATTAATTAATATTATTAGTATACCCGATCGCAACCGACAGGACCAGAGTCCCCATGGCTCTGCCATCTAAATGCCTTAAATTGATATATTTTCACCCTACAAGCACCTCTGTCATTGACGCTCCTAGAAGGATTTTAAGTGCCCCACAGTTCGCCTTCTTCCGCGTTATTCGGGCGTATAAAACGGAAGATCACTCTGGGTTGGTAACTACCCCGTCTTTTTCTTCATAAGTCGTCAAAACATACTAAATCTGACCGCCCCCTTAATCCAAAACACAAGGAAAGCCCCATTAGAGTGCTGTTCAGCGATCTGTCCTAGTTAGAGAGCATAAATAAACATTCGTATTTGGCGTCGGAGTACTGTGTCTAGAGGCCGTCCAGGGCTGTCGCATAGCGACGAGCCATTAATCATTGGGAATGGCCCCTTCCAGTTTATTATCTGTCATCAGTCAGTAAGACACCACTCGCAGGTGCTGGTCCATTCGAGGTTTGCGCTTGAGTACAGTGGTTCAATGAACACTGTAAGTTCAAGGTCCAATCCCTTTGAGCTGCCAGTCTAGGCCTCAGGCGGTTAGGATCGGTAAGACTCAAAGAACAGCTTGCATTGCTCAATTTGTTTATTCTAAGTAATCCTTGATGACCAAGAAGGGTTAATGGCAGAAATGGGGGAACGACCGGGATGGCTACTTTTAGTTTGTTTGTCTTAATCACCCCGACGCGTATCTGCCATTTAAATCAGCGGTTGTCCGTCATTGGACAGTTTCAAGTCGAGCACTACAATAGTTGAGCTACGAGAAAAGTTTGGAATTTTAATTTTTGTCATAAAATCAGGAGAGACCAATGAAATTTAGGGTTTTATAGAAGACAGTAGTGTTGCAGAAGGTATTTGGGGAAACTTGTGGTGCTCCAGATCATATGACAGATATGGCAAATATATACGCTTTATTTTGGAAGTATTATTCCAAAATGTTCAGCAAAAAGGCCTCCATTCACAGTGAGTACAAATGAGAACGAAAAACAGATAAAACAAAACGAATCGCATTACAGACGAAGACAGGGAAGACTGGAATGGCCATTTCTCGCCGTTTTCAGTTAGTCATACCCAATCCCGAAGTGTGGGACACCTGGGGCTTGATCCCGTGACTTGTTGGTTAGAAGTCCAACGCCCCTGACCACTGAGCCATGGGCTCGTCGTCCTGTTGGTTGCGATAGGGTATATGCAATGGTGGAGGGGGCTCTCACCGATCGCGCTACGGAACTCACTTTTCCCGTTGTGCCTTGGGACTCTCTCTCTCTCTTGAGTCCCGCCAGCAGCCGCACAGCGGTTGCAGAAGATTGCAATCGATATGTGATGTTCGAAAATTGCAACTGTTGATATCATGAAGAGTCACCAGTGAATGAGGTGTAAACGTCGCGTCAAATTTTTTTTCCTTAAAACACTGCTAGCATAGTATGCAGATGACTCCATTACTGTAATTCAACTGAACAAGGAGGAAAATAAATTAGCATAAAATCCGCATAAAATAAGCCAACAGATGCACGTATGGGAAATTTCTCACTCAAATGGAGAGCAGTTCAGTTCTCGGCTCCCCTTAGACTTTGCCTCCTTACTATCCCGTTTTTTGTACAGTTCTCATAACGTAAATAATAGGCCAGCAAAAAAACAGACAGTTCTTATTTTCTCAAATTAACGAAACCCATATTTGGGGCTGTTCTAACTGGTTGCTATGTCGCGGCTTTAAAATGTTCGACTTTTCCATGAGAGAAAGAGAAATAAATTGACCGTTTTCTATAACAAGGCTGCGATTCATTTTGGAAATCCCTACTTAAGGTCAAGCAATCAACTATTAGCCATGCTGGAATTACACCTATGACCGGAGGAGATACAACCCGCGACTTAGGAAGGGACGGGTTTGCCAAAATGCATTTATCATATTTCATTTTCTTAAACGGTCTCGTTACTCCTGTCCATTCTCCCTACTGAACTAGTAGGCTGACTTATGCACAATTCGGACCTTCTCGAAAAGTATTATGCTCCAAAGATTTAATACGAACTGGAGTGTTGTACTATGTTCTCATTTTGCTCAAAGACGTTTTTTCCAGTTTTTTTATTCTGCTGCACGCAATGGCACGGTTTTTGAGTTATTCACGCTTTTAACGAATTTCCAGCTACCTGACGAGGTTTGTCACAGAAAATACATCCAGCATAATAGTGGGAAATCGTTGTAGTTTAGTAGCGAAATCTCTTGGGTACTCATCAGTCGGAATAGTGTCATTTGCTGTTTCAAAAACCATTAGGACTCAGGGAAAATGAATAAATATTCACACGTGGACATGCAATTAGAGGCATGAACGCTTGGAGGGGAGGATTTAAGAATGATATTTCGACCGAGCCTCCGGCCGCACACCAGTTCTCTTCAGTGGACCAAAAGCTACCTAAAAGCCAAATCCATATTTCATCTTTAAGACATTTCAGTTCGAATCTCTTTTTGACTCAAAGACCGCGGCGTATGCAGCGATTAACATCTCCCATCGGAGTTCGTCGAAGTGGCAAGCAGTGGCTGTAATATAGTTGATGGCTGCCATGTCTTCCTACTCAACAGTCGCCCTTCTGTCAGTTTCGTGGTATTTTGATGTGTCAGCCAATCAGCATGTACCGGTGTTCACGGTGATATCTGGCACGTTGAAGTCTCATGCCATTTAGACTGTGGGTGACTACAGGTGCCAAGCCACACTATCAGCGAGATAAGCGATTTCATTCCTGCTTCCTGTTCAGTGTTATTCGTAGCCTGCATGGAATTGCGAGTGGTTGCTGTTTTAATGCAATAAAAGTGACTATGCTGACTTACTCATTGGCACATAATTCCGATGATATGACTTACCCTGCTGTCGAGTTTATGGTCAGATTAGTATTTGCATTGATTGAATAACCGCCGCTTATTAAGTGGTCGTTTGACGGGCACAGAAAGGAACTTCAAAACCCCCCACAGGGTGCGGTGGCGAATTGGACATGCATATACATACGTACTTATGTTAAAACGGATTTGCGCATCGTCTGCCCAATTTAATTCCCACCACATTCACCATGTTTCTATGACAAGGTAAAGTCAGGACGGCGTAGGAGGGCGTGGATGCGATGACTGTCAAAGTTAAACGATCCGATGTAAATGGAAAAGTTTTCACGAACTAACGAGTTGTATCTCACGAGCCCCGTAGATTTAAAAGCAGCAAGTAAAACTGAGCAGTGAATAATATAGAGATTTTGAACGCTAAGCAACCTGACAACAGAGCGCGACAGCAAAGCAGGCCAACAAGGCGGGTTGTACAGGTGTGTCGTTTTTCGTCACATTCAAACAAGCAATCCGGTCAAAGAAAACGGGGCTAAATTGTCAAAGGTAAATTAGTCCGGTACCTCACCACAGATCCATCTACGCGTGCCACATATTGACCTGTCTTGAAACCTCGTTCGAACCGGGTCCCAGGGAGAGCGAGGATCGCAAATCCTGGACATTTGGGGGCGTCCTAGGGATCGAATCGAAAAGAAACCATTACAACCTGACTCTCGTTCCAACGACGAACTGACTTATTTCGTTAACTAGTAGATTTTCAAATCACAAACGGTAGCACTTCATATATATATATATATATATATATATCACGCGCCTTTGCTTATTTATAAAGAAGAAATTAAACGCTCGCTCTGACATGACCCGTCCACACACACTTTCTCCCCTCTCTCCCATGTGTCACCAGCATGTTCAATTAAAGTCGACTGGGATTGCGGTTGGACACTGTGGCTGCCGTAGAGTGAGACCCTGTTTACAGCGTATGACGCACGTACATAAATATTTAAGGACCCTCTTATACTCAATACCGCCCGATCGACGAACGGACGGATCAGTATGATCCTCTTCGATCTAGTGTAATTTCGGTGCGGTCTTTTGAGGATTCAGATCACCCACTAAATGAATCATCTCAGATGAGTAAGACGTTCTGTAGGCAACGGCCCAGTTCGAGGACATGCTTTATTTACTATCGTCGCGTAGACTAAATAGCACTGGATAGCCCATCTGCCGTAATCTGTGAACAGCACCGCTTTCTCGGGAAGCAGTTATAACCGACGCGTGGGCTTGAGTAGCATCCACTTTGTTCCGCCTTCCCATTTGCTGTGTTACCCAGGTAAGACACCTCGAGATCACAGGGAAGAGATAGGAGGGTGGCATAAGGCTTCCGTCGACGAGCAACTCAACAGTGCCCTCAATTCCCCATGACCCGCATTACCAAAAGTCAGATTTCTCAGCGGTGGCAGTTACATATTTATGTGGAATTACTGAGGTTTTTGCCCTCACTCCAGGGAGCAAGTCTGCCGCTTCGGCTGTTAACCAGCCAAACCACAATTATGGCACGTTAGACTTCAGTGGGTGGGCTAACTCGTGAAATATCAACTGAAATTCTGAAATGCGTTTTGGTTTCAAAAAGATTAATTAAATAGGGTTGTAAAACTAATCAGCCTGAAACCTCATGTTGTAATATCTCAGTTACCACAGGATGCCGGCTTTAACTTCCTTCAGGCTGCATGCATAAACCGCACTCTCTAAAAAAAGGACTACTTCTGTAGCATGCATTTTTCTCATTGATTTTCAATGTTCCTAAATGTCCAATCATATTTCATGGAAAACATGCATAAAAATATTCATTCTATTGCTCATTCGGTTGATAATTACGTCTTATTTAAATCTTATACGCGAAGGAAGGGACACAATTCGGTTTAAAAAAAAACTTTTCCGATTCCCGAATAATTTTTAACCCGCTCTACCATTATACTTGGATTCCGGGTATCCAAATTACAAGCAGTATATTTTCGGCGTACGGAAAACCACACATTTCTCTACGGTATTAAAGGGGCACCATATAGGCTTCATGAAATTTAGCAGTGAATTTGATCCATATTGTTAACTTTACAGGCCACATTGGTAAATACAGAGACATGACGATTTATGAAGGACCATTCCACGGTATTTAAAAGTCCCACAATTAGAAACTTTTTTAAACCGAATTATGTCCCTCCTTCGAGTAAAAAAATTTGAAGAAGACGTAATTATCTACCAAATGAGTAAAAGAATGAATATTTTTATGCAAGTTTTCCATGAAATATTATTGGACTTTTAGAGGCATCGAAAGTCGACGAGAAAATTGCATGCTACTTAAGTAGTCGTTTTTTACAGAGTGTAGTTTTTTGCATGCAGCCGGAGGGAAGTTCATTCAGTAGCCGGCATCCTGCGGTAACTGAAATATTATAGAATAATGTTGCTGGCCGACTACTTTTATAACCCTGCTTAATTAATCTTTCCGAAACAAAAACTCATTTCGGAATTTCGGTTGACATTTCATGGGTAAGCCCACCTACTCTATTATTGTGAGAAAATCAAGCCAAGCCTCGACCTTACTTTCACTTTTTTCCTCTCTACGGCCATGACAAGTTCGAGTTAGACCGGGCGGTGGGCGCTGCGGGTAGCTCGAAACCAATCCGTCGCACAGTCGTTTACCCTGTTTTGGGAACTATTGCATGACTGTCGGATTAAGCACTCGGCGTTTTTCTCATACACACTAGCAAACCATCTGTAATTACTTAAAATTATAATCTGTTGTGGCAAGATTTTAATTATTGCCTTCCATTTATCATTAAAGGGTCAACTAGGCTTCCTTTGTCATAATAAGTTACAATTTGTGCTTTGTTTAAAAAGAGTGCAATTTAAAAACCGGCTGTCATCTCTGATAAAACATTGCCTGGGGTCAACGCCCAAAGGGGGTAGGCCGATTTAAGTCCGGCTCCACAGCGCCGTCACTTTTGGACAAAAAAAACTAACTCTGTACCCGCACACTCTACTGTATGACTAGTGTGGCATCAGTAGCCTAGTGAACTGAACTGTCCTACCACTGAAGCTCTTGCTGAAATCAGATCTTTGAGTCATTGCGTTAACAATGAACTTTTCTGAGAACAGCTCGTCTACATCCGAAAGACAACGGCCACCCCTTCCAGCGCCCATAGTGGCGCTCCAGAATCGACAAGACACTGTCAAGGCCTAACGCTAAGTCAACCTAACTCAAAAGTTTTCACTGATATTAACTGAAATCCAGAGTAATTATGTCCCCTTATGACCGGAAGCAAAAAACCAGTCCGCTGTTTTGCCGGCGGAGAATGTCGTTCATACCCAAAATTGGGCGATGAAAACTAATGCTGTATAGACCATCGTCCCGAAAATGTGGATGCCTAAATCTGAATTCTAACGATGTACCTGATTTCCATCAAAAATTTATTTGCTCAACTTGTAGTAGTAGTAGTAGTAGTGTTTACAGAATACCCTGCAAGTGTCTGCTCAGTATGCGAGAAATAGCATTGGTTGTGAGATTCCGTTTCCGTACAGTCAACATTCTAGCCACCTGAGCTACGAGGTCCTACCGTAAGGCGCGAGTTTAATCACTTTTGGATCGAGTTTACCCGCTAAACAAAATGCAACGCCTGGAATCCACCAAATCTGATACGGTAGGCTGGCTGCTCAAGCAGGATTTCCTAAGTAATCCACCTAGAATCCACTGGATGAAGGGCAGGTGTTATGTCAGATTTCAAATAATTCACTTTGACACAATTTGAAAGTGTACCTGTCTTCAGAATGGAGACGGTGTGTGGATTGCTTCGGGTACACCACCGGGGTTAATTACCCTATAAACTACCAGAACACGTTTTTCGTAATTTGGGAAGGAATCCGCCATTATTTAGTTCCTTTTCTTCTAACTGTCGTCGATTCATTCATCGGCCGCTCGAGCCTGTCTGCCTGCCTGACGAAATTCCTTTTATGGCTCCGCGAGTTTTCTTATTTCGATAGTCCAAACAAACTAAAAATGCGTTTCTTGTTGACACACCTACTGCAGAGTAAGTTGTTTCTTCTTCTCCAAATATGAATTTGTCATTGCAACTCTTGCAGCCAGTTCGTTCAAGCCAACACGAACGGTTAGTCTTGAAAGTTAGAAGAAGAAGAAGAAGAAGAAGCAGAAGAAGAAGAAGAAGCAGAAGAAGAAGAAAAAGAAAAAGAAGAAGAAGAAAAAGAAAAAGATGATGATGATGATAATGATGATGATGATGATGATGATGATGATGATGATGATGATGATGATGATGATGATGATGATGATGATGATGATGATGATGATGATGATGATGATGATGATGATGATGATGATGATGATGATGATGATGATGATGATGATGATGATGATGATGATGCATGAATTATCTGTAAAGCCCACAGGTATGCCGTCCGCGGCATAGAGACAGCACAACCGGGCACTCGGCCCTTGAATACCGTCTGGCGCTTTCCGTTTTCTCGCAGTCATTTCCCATCCCACAGAGTAGGTTTCTAGTAATTAGCATCATGACTGGCTCCGGTAAGTCCATGGAGAAAGTCAAGAAAATGGACTCTGATGGGGTAAAATTATTCGAGTAACTGATCATACATGGAAATGGTGGGGTTTTTACCCCAGGACATGGGAGTTTTTGCGGTCAAATTCATTTTCTCACTTTTATACAGTATTTGGATAAAATAGGTTTTTTTTATTGCGTGAGCACTTTTTCAAACAGTGCATTTGAGATAAATTAAGGTTTTAAGCTAAATCTTTTATTATAAGGATAGGATGGACCACGTTGATAATCTTTACTTTATAAAACCCTCGTCTTTTTTCCTCTAGACAAACCATTCAACTGCCTACGTCACTTCTGTTGATAAAGAGGGATAGGTAAATGATGGCGCTTATAAAGACGTTAACCGACTGGACGCCTATTTGGACTTTTTCGTTGTCTCGAAACGCTAATAGCCCCAGGCGACCATTACTGTATTTTTGAACTCCCGCCAAAGCGACAAATCCTTTAGCGTATACAAGTTGGGGGTGGTGGAATGCGTCACGCTAAGCAGTCGCCCTTGGCTTTGTACTTTTAAAAAGTATGAATTTTGCAGCAAATACCTGTACTTTCATGTTAAAGTGCAGAAACCGGACTCTTTAGGCTTGGTCAACTGGGAAAACATGCGCTTTTCAGCCGTCTTAAGTCTGCTCCTCACCCACCATAGTTTACACTATGAGACGGTATTTTAGAGACTAAATCCGGAAGGCTTTTCTTGAATGCGAACAAAACCGTGCATTGCCGATGCAGGCGAAAATGCGAGTCCCAGGAAGCAGTTGACGTGATCGCTGGAACAAGAGCTTATATCGCCGGACGTTTCGGATCCATGATCAAGACCATCATCAAGTTTAGCAGCAGATACGGATAATTCATGCATGAAAAATCGCAGTCACTACAGTGGGCCTATGAAAACCAACGGCTCCCCTTCATCGGTGAGACTGAAATTCTCACGATAGGTGACAGTCGCGTGAAACACGGACTCCCGGAACCATGGCTCACAGAGTTCCAGTCTATTAACAAGTGTACAGTGAGTGACCGATCTCATGAAATGTGGGCTGAAGTTCTGAAATGCGATTTCGATTAGGAGGAATTACTTAGGCGGATTATTATCATGCGGCATAATCCTATAATATTTCGGACTCGGCAGGATGTTAGCTTTTGAATACACTGCTTTTCAATCTCCTGTGGAAACCGTGCTCGGTAAAAAATGACTACTTAAGTAGCCTGCATTTTTCCCATTGGCTTTCGATGGTTTTGCAAATTCAAATATATTTTGTAGAAACCAAAAACAATAATATACTTTTCTTAGTCATCTGATAGAGAATCACATCAGCTTTATATTTTATACTCGAAAAAGTAGTATAAATAGGTTTTAAGAAAGTTTCTAATTATGAGATTTTCTAAGACTGTGCAATGCCCATTCATATAGCATCGCACCCGTCCGTTTGTCACTGCTCCTCATGAAATGTGCAGAATGGTCCGCATCGATTGCAAAATTTTATGAACTCTATATGATATCTTTTTAAAGGCATAGAGACATATGTGATTTTCTTTACGCGGAACGCGTGCTCCTTGTAGACTGAAATCACTGACCGCTAATACAACGAATAATCAGGCTTCAAATTATTTTGGAATCGGAAAACTTTTTAAACCTAACTATACGCCTTCCTTGAGTATAAAATATGAAGAATACGTGATGCTTCATCAATTGCCTGAAAGAAAGCATATTTCTGTTTATGGTTTCTATAAGATATATTTGGATTTGCAAGATCATCGAAAACCAATGGGAAAAATGCATGCCAGTTAAGTAGTCATTTTTTGTATAGTACGGTTTCCGCAGGAGATTGAAAAGTAGTATATTCAAAAGCTGACATCCAGCAGAGTCCGAAATATTATAGGATTATGCCGCATGATAATCAGCATTACAACTGCGCCTAAGTAATCCTTCCTAATCGAAAACGCATTTCAGAACTTCAACCAACATTTCATGAGATCGGTCACTCACTGTAGGAGTGTCTAGTTAGGGGGCAAGTCGTGTAGGTGCGGTAGGTTGCATCGTTTGACCTGTGCAGGTGGTGACTACTTCGCGCGGTCCTTAACTGGCACTCAACTCTCATCTGCAGCTCCCCGAAGCTAGGCTCCGTCTAGCGGTCACTCCTTCCTAACTGCCTCGACCGGTGGGTTAAGCCAAGCGAAGGTATCCCGTGTAATGAGGGTACTCGGTAATTCTGCTCCCTTACCCATCCCTCCTTACCCCTCCCCGGTTTCAAAAAGTCCTACGGGGGATGACATGTAATCCCGTAGGCCGCCCAAGTTGATCCGTGTCGTTTTTTTACCAGAGCAGACCGGGACCCGCAGTGGAGTTCGGCTGTCGTCTGGGATGTCTCAGCGGTCCTTTTTTAAGACGGCGCTGTCTTCCCACGCCGCGGGGAAAGGGGCTAGAAAAAGTGACCGTCACAGATGCTGACATCACACAATCTGCACCCAGACCGCCTTGGCCCGCAGATATACAAAAAACGGTCGAAACAAACAAACAACAACCCTCATCGCCATCCTCATC